ATTATCATTATGATCATTATCATTATTATTATTATTATTATCATCATTACTATTAAATGGGTGTCCAAAGTGACTATTTTGCGAATACTGGGATATAATCCAACTGTATTGTTTAAACAATTGTTATTGGTAAATATAGAGTGTTAAATTAGCATTTATTGTCACGTTGGCGTAAAAAATGGCCAATTCACGACGTACCTGGCACTCTCGGGGACGATCCAGGGGGTGACGAAGGCCACGACGAGCGGCAGCGCGCTCAGTACGCTCAGCATCTTCCAGTCCCTGACCCAGTAGGCGATCCAGGGCAGTATGCCGGACGCGATGGCGAAGTAGATGCCAAAGGACATGTTTGCCATTAGCGTTCGGTACTTTGGCCCCACGTATTCGATCACTGGATCGCGCGATCGAGCGGACGTAGGGGAGTCGGGGGGGAAAACACACACAAAAAATAAAAATGCGGCAAAGGGACATTTAAAATAAATTGAAAGACAAATAATAAGGTGACAATGACAAATCATATGTGAGGGTAACAATGGGGGTGATCGAGAGTCGATTGAGCTGGAAATTTTGTTAGATCGTTGATTGAGCTGTTAGAGGTTTCGTCGGGGAAATCGGCTAATATCAGTACATATGTATATACCGATGATGAAGATGATGTTGAAGCAATTGTCGAAGGAAGTGCCCACGACAAATCGGGCCAGTGCAAAGGACCAGAATTCCGTGCACAAGGCGGTGGCGATCGAGGCAAAGAAACCGACGCTGTTGCAGGCGACCAGAGCTGGTAATCTGCCGTAGTGGTCGGCTATGTAGCCGAATATCAGACCGCCGATTATACTGCCCGCGAAAAAGGCCGATTGAGCTGCTGAGCCGAGGAACGCTTTTCCGCACACCCATTCTTCCTGTAGAAAGTTTTTTTTTAATTTTCATTTAATTATTTATTTTATTTCATTTTGTTTTTTCAAAGTAAATGAGCACTTGGAAGTATTCACGGTACGTGCAATAGTAGTTGGAATAAGCTCGCGATCGTTTGTTCGATGTACATCTCGTGTGAAAATCGTTTGTAGAAAAAAGAGATTCTTCCGGGGTGCCTCGTTAATTTCTTCATTGCCTCCGTTCAAGATGAAATCTCAATTCTATTTTATGATCAGCGTTAAAAACAAAAAAAAAAACTTTTAATTGAAAATTGAAAAAATCCAACGATATATCTGCGCGGGAAGCTCACAGACAACAATATTAAAAAATTCATAACGAGGTGAATTGCCGAGAGATCGGTATCGAGCTTAAGCGCGTGTAAAACCACAGTCCAGTGTACGTGCACCCGATCTACTTAACATCTCACGACCGGATCGGCTAACCACTATACGCTTACCCCGAAACGTCTCAATGGACGTAATTATTACTTAATTATTCGGAGCGCGTGGGAGCTAGTATTATTGGAGCTTGTAAAGAGAGAGAGAGAGAGAGGAAAAAAAGATTGATTTTAATTCCGTGTTTATTGCAGAAAGATCGTTGTTCAAGCTCGAATAATTATGAAAACTGGTTGAGGATCGATGAAATGGTAATTTCGTGATAATTGTATTTTTTATTTTTTTCGTGTACTGTAGAGGTATACAAGTGTAATAAATATAAAAAAGATGAAAGCACAAACCTCAGCAGCGATGGACATGTAGGGCACGTTGCTCATGTTGAAGTTGTAGCCGTATTTACACGTGCTGACCGGCCACTGGGGGTTGGCGTGGGTCATGTTTTTCAACAACACTTCCGTGTAATTAGTAACGTACATGTTACATCTTGAGAATGAGAAATTGGATTCAGAGTTTTTTTCTGTAGAATCCGGCGGTGGTATCGATAACATGATCCTGTGGACGTATCATTCAATTATACATTTGTGCTAAGGTTTTTTTTTTATTGTGCTGCAAAATTCTTCAATTAAAAAAAAAGTTTTTGAAACAGAGAAAGAACCCACTCCACTCAATAATTCATCTCAATTTAATTAATCATTCCAAAACTCCATCTTGAATGATTTTTTTTTTTTTTTTTATACACGTGTTACCATTAGTATCTTTTTTTCAAACAACAAAGAGTACTAAGAAGAAGTTTTCTGCTTTTAGCAAAAAGAAAAATGAAAAGTATAAAGTGCCACCAAGGGTTTCCAGAGTTTTTCTCGCTCTCTACCTCCCATATGTAATGAAAACACGCGCGTGCCGAGTTTTTTTTTGTCCCCGCGTGCCATTGACAATTAAAGCAGCCGTATAATATGTGCCTCCGACACTGTGCACACAACATGTCTACGTGACGAGGCTGCTATACGGCTGCACAATGTGACATTTTTCTCGATTTTTTTTTTCCTTTTTTTCTTTTTTTTTCATACGTATATTGTGTACAATACGAAACGGGAGCTGAGCAACACCTTTTTTTTCCAAAACTCCTCGCGCTAGAGATGATTGCCTTCGAATACAAAAGTGAGGAAACTGAGAATCGGAGAGTAATTATTCATGAAAATACTCAATTTTAGTTTTGTTATTCACTATTTTATTGATCTGTCCCTCGATCCAACACGTTTTTGCCTCGAAACTTTTTGACGAGTCCATGACACAAGTTAATATTTCAATATACCGCGAGTCGGTCTGAGTTTTACTCTGTTGCAGGAATAATTGCAATTTCGTGCGATTCACCGGTGCACTTGCGCATGAGAAAAATCACATTATTACCATTACAGTCCATGAGAAAAAAAAAAAAAAGATGCTCTCTTCTGATCGTTAAGCAAGAAGAGCATCATTTTTTTCGTACCTCCATGTGAGAGCGCAAGTAACCGGGTACAATTAATCATTAGGCGTATATATTAGCTAAAACCCATACTTTTGTGCATCCGTGAAGTTCGTGTTGTCGAATTCGGGTACCCTGCACCAGTACTCCTCGGGTACGAGGGTGATGAAGAATTGGGCAAAGTAGAGGAAGGCGTAGACGAAGGTGAAGGGTAGGAGGAGTACGAAGAGGAACCACTGGTAGCGGCCAGCCTCGCCGATGTAGGGCAGGATGTCGTCAAAGTTTTCGATCCTTGGTCTGTTGGCCTCGCCCTCCTCGACCTTCTTTTTCTCCTGCGTCGAGTCCATACTCTCGAGTTTCGGGCTGCTGATGCTTCAACTGCAACACAGGTGCGTACAAGAGGCACAGAGTGTTGATTAATTTTTGATTTACTGTAAAATGCAATTTTTTTTTTTTTTTTTTTTTTTTTCAGGAGTTTCGTGTGTTTAAAACAATCTTGATTGAATATTTTGTTTTTTAGGTAAACATTTTAACGATAGATTTCTTTTTTTGTTTTTAATCCTACAACTTAATTAAAATTATATAATAGCTAAGAATACTTAATTTTTCCTGTTTACGATTAATGTCAATGTAAAGTTGCGAGTACTTGTTGACATTTACGAACCATACAATAATGAGTAAACTTGTTTAAAAAGGAATAAAACTATTTTTATTTTATAGCCATAGAATCAAGTGGAGTCGGAATATGAGTATTTTAATCATCAATTTTTTAAATTTGTTATAAAGAATCAAGGCTTGTTCAAGCATTTTCATCCTTTTTGCTCAAAAGGACCAATTATTTTGTCATTTTCACACTACGGTGACACCAGACGTTAAAAAAGTATATCAATTTAAGAAAACATAAGAGAATTGTTTGGAAAATCAGTCAATATTGTATTTTTATTCGAGTTTCAATGCACAGGCACCGATGTACATCTGGTATACTGCAAACATCGACAATATTCAATTTCACGCCGTCCGGTGGTGTATATATAATATACAAAGCCACTCTCGTGTAACAATATGAACAACCAAGAGGCGTGTGGGTGAATAATTCTTATCGTCAGAGGCTCTCATCGCCTCGTATCCAATTATCCGCTCGGCGAGCACACGTACTTTTCTTTTTCTTTCTTCCCTCCATTCATTTGCTCGCTCGCTCCAATAGCCCTGTGTACTCGCAGCTTTGTCCGCGACAATTAAAACTAGAGCCAGCGAGCGGTCCCACTGCCGTTTCTTTGGCGAAAGAGGTGACGAATCTTTTTTTTTTTTTTTTTTTTTTTTTTTTTTTTTTTTTTTTCTTTTTCTACCAAAGCGCGAGATCGGCGGTTTCTAAGGCGATTAATTGAACTTCCGCGGCGTATTATTTTTCTTTACAAGGTATTTAACAAGAGGCAGGGTACTAGAGACGGGTAAAATTTTTTTTCGTTTTTACGATTTTCACGATATGGGCTGAGGAAACGTTCCACCAACGCGAATGAGATTGCGCGGAGTCAGGAATAATTAATTTGCAGTGTGATTTAGATAAACAAGCGTAAAAAAAAAAAAAAAAAAAAAAAAAAAAAAAAAAAAAAAAAAAAAAAAAAAAAA